GAGAAGACCTGCCAGGAATCTAGCAGCTTGATCAGGTCTCAAGGCAGTGACTGTGTGGAGTCGGAAGTGGGTAGACAAATGTGTGAAGGTGCCTTGTAGGGATGGGCACATCAAGGTTTCACAGTTTGATAGGTGGCCTCAGATTATCTTGCTCCTTTGCTGTGATTTTGTACAAACCACAAGGTTATTCACTGAAAGCACTCTCTACTGTAAATGTAAATTGAAAAACCTAAATCCTGTGGATAGATTAGTTGAATATATTATGACACATCCACACAATAGAGGTCTATGCAGCTTTTTTGAAAACTAAGGAAGAGCTTTATGAACAGATTGATTTCTAAACATACTCAAGTGAAAAAAAGCAAAATTTGGAGAATCTATAGTAAGCTACACTTCATGTAAGAAGGGAATATAAGAAAACACACCACTATCAGCTCATTATGCATAAGAAATACAGGAAGAAAAAGCCAGAAATGAAGAAGTGGTTACTTACAGAGGGTGGATAAAAAGGGTTGGAATAGAAAGATGAATTGGAATAGGTTAGTGAGGATGAGAAGGGAGCAACATTTCTCTGAGAACCTTTTTGTATAGCTTTGGCCTTTAGAACTATTAGTAATGTTTCCAACAGTTCTTCATTCATACTAGTCATATTTCAAGTGTTCCACAGCCACATGGGGCTAGGGCTACCATATTGGACAGTGCAGACAGAACATTTCTATCATCCAGAAGTTTCTGTTGGACAGTTTTCTCTGGACCTATCAACAGTTCCACAGACTCTATATAGCAATCTTGGACCACTACTCTGCTTTTTCTCAGTCCTTACCTGCTTCCTGTTACCAGAAACATTCAGGTTGCCACCACCTTTCTTCCTGACCACCTTGCTTCCTTTCCAGCGACACTTCATTCTGCACCAGTTTGGCCATTCTCATGGTCACATGTCAACTTTCAATCTTTTCTCTTTCTGACATGCCTGTTCTGCTAACCTCCAACCAGACGCCAATCGGAATGCAAGGTTTGTTTCTACACTTGAGCTGCCTAAGAGCTACTGGGGAAAAAAAATGACTTTTGTGGGGATCAGGGCTGTGAGATACGGAGGGCATACAAGCTCAAGTGCCAGTTTGGCAATTCTTTTGTGTACAACTGGTCAGTTCTCTACAATTCCTTCTCTCTTCAAGATCCCCAACACATTGCTTATCAAACTTTAAAATGCAAACATTATCTGGGGGATCCTGTTAAAAATGCAGATTCAGCTGGACGCGGTGGCTGTAATCCCAATACTTTGGGAGGCTGAGGCGGGTGGATCACCTGAGGTCAGGAGTCTCAGAACAGTCTGACAAATATGTCAAAAGCCTGTGTCTACTAAAAATACAGAAAATTAGCCAGGCGTGGCGGCAGGTGCCTGTAATCCCAGCTACTCGGGAGGCTGAGGCAGGAGAATCGCTTTAACTTGGGAGGCGGAGATTGCAATGAGCCGAGATCACGCCACTGCACTCCAGCCTGGGAAACAGAGTGAGGCTCCATCCAAAAAAAAAAAAAAAAAAAAAAAAAAAAGCAGATTCTAATCCAGTAGGTCTGTTGTGTATGGGACCAGAAATTCTGCCTTTCTAGCATGATCCGCATGCTGCTAGCTCAAGATCCATGAGTAGCTAGGCCCTAACCCATTGGTTCCAACTTCAGTGTGCACAGTTTCCTGGAGGGCTTATTAAAACACAGATGCTGGACCCCATTTCTGAAATTCCTAATTCAGTAAATCCAGGCTAGAGCCTGAAAATGCGTGTTTCTAATAAATTCCCTGGTGATACTGCCACTACTATTCCAGGGAACACACTTTGAGACCATTGCCCTAAACCATTGCTGGCCTTCTGTCTCCTATTTCATGGAGGCAATTGAGGCTAATCAGTGAGAAGCCCTATTTGAGCTCCTGTGACACCTGCTCTGCCCATAGTTCAGCCATCATCACACTATTGAAGGATGTTAATCTGCATTTTTAATAGGATTCTCCGGATGGTTTGTTTGCATTTAAAGTTTGATAAGCACTGTGTTACAGATCTTGAAGAGAGGAGAGAAGGAATTGTATAGCGCACTGGGCAGAATACATTTGTAATTAAGAAAAACACTGAGTGAAGAGGGGATGTATTTGTGAACATTCTGCATCCATTTTCCTTCTGATAATAGTTTCCCAATTTTCTTCTAGGGTTTTACTTCTCTCTCCAGAATCCACATTAGTTTCAGATGGCATTAACTATTCCCAGCTCCAGGAGTAAGCATATGAATTAGGTCTGGCCAATCAGATATGCATTTCCCGGGCCACAGGATAGCTCAAGGGTAGAACTGTGCCCCAGTCAAAGCTAATGAGATGCACTGAGGCTCTCTGGGACTGCTGAGGGAGGCTGAGACTCATCTTCACTTGACTTCAGTCAAGAAACACGTGAAGATTCGAGAACTATGGCAACTACCTTGCTCCACAAGTGGGGCAAGTTGACAGAGACACAGCCAATGTGCAAGGACAGGAGAGATGACTTGCCATAGTGACATAATGTAATATCCTGATCAAGCTTTACCCTTGGACTATTATGTGAGATAAAATTCCTTTTAAACTAGTTAGGGTTGGGGTTTCTGTCACTTGTGAGTAGGCTGTTTGTCTCATTGGCTTCCAGTAAAGGAATTTAAGAGCATTTTCTTAGGGCTAATTCTAGCCTTATTGAAGAGATTAAGCAAGGTGTTCCCAGAGCTGGAAAGGATGAAGGTGAGTGCTTTGAGTGTGGAGATTGGCCCTAATGGGCAGCTAAAAACTATGAGCAGAGATGGGAATTCAAGGCTTTCATTTCTACAGAGGCTCAGCTGCAGCTGAATGCAGAACCCCAAATGAGGGACAGCTGCGGGATGCTCACAGCGGCTGGTTGGCAACACAGCCTGTGAGCAGTGTGTAGCTTTCCAGGAGCAAGCTGGGGCTGGGGGTGGAGGGTCAAGTATAGTGGGGCTCCGGATTGGCATCCTGGAGCTCCCATGCCTGGGCAGACATTCTGCAGCCACACCAGGCTACAGCAGCCATGATGGCAGGCAGTGGGGACTCAAGCCCCAGCCTTCCCCTTGTTTCCTTCGACCACATACTGAGGTCACTGTACCACCCTGGGTGAGGGACACGCAGGGACTACAATCACTGCTCCAGTGATTAGGCCCTAAGTGCTCTGCCCTTGCTAATGAGATTAACGTCCTTATAAAAGAGGCTTCAGAACTGCTTGGCCCTCCCCTCTTTGTGCCATGTGGGGATACTGCAAGAGGAGCCATCCTGAAGGTGGAGTGGGACTTTGCCAGACACGAAATCTGCCTGTGCCTTGACCGCGGACTTCACAGCCTCCAGAACTGTGAGAAATATATTTCTATTTATAAATTACCAGTCTAGGGTATTGTGTTTTAGAGCAGGAATAAACTAAGACTGGTTAGGATATTTTAATAGATGATTCAAGACATTACCTTGAGTTCTATCCCAATGGTTCTTTTGTCTTTTTTTTTTTTTTTTTGCGAGAGTCTCACTGTCACCCAGGCTGGAGTGCAGTTGGCATGATCTCGGCTCACTGCAATCTCTGCCTTCCAGGTTCAAGTGATTCCCCTGCCTCAGCCTCCTGAGTAGTTGGGACTACAGGTGTGCACCACCACACCCAGCTAGATTTTTTGTATTTTAGTAGCGATGGGGTTTCACCATGTTGGCCAGGATGGTCTCGATCTCCTGACCTCATGATCCGCCCGCATTGGCCTCCCAAAGTGCTAGGATTACAGGTGTGAGCCACTGCACCCAGCCCCTTTTAACATTTTCTTTTGGAGGTCCCATTCTCTAAGAGTATTTTAAACATGAAGTGTGACCTGCCAAAGTGAAAACACTATAGGAAATTATATTTAAAACAAAAACAGAAAAAATCCCACAGAGCCTTCCTGAATCTGCTCCACTTCAGAAATTTTGTGACCTAACATTTAGGTCCAAGTGTGGATATCTTAATTTGTCACTGCAATGCTTTATACCTTGTTGCTAACTTGCTTGGTTTGCAATGTTGACCGTGGATGACAATTCAAGACAATACAGAGCACCTGGAATCCCTTTCAGGTCAGTGCTGAGAACATCAGGGCTCTCCTGCTGCATGCACTCAGCATATCCTGCAGATGAGGATGCTGGCCTGTTTCCAGGAGACAGGATAGTGCCCTCACTCCACCAGGGGGTTCCAGTGTGGCCTGGGAGGAGTAGATATCACTCTAGAGGGCTTAGAGCATCCTCTCTGTCCCAGGGATGGAGTAAGTGCAGCCAAAAGCAAGTGGGCAGACTCAACGCTATGTATTCCTGGTAGCTCTGAAAATGACAGAGCAAATCATGGGAACTGCACAAAATATATGACGTTCGAAACTGTTTGATTTTTTTTTTTTTTTTTTTTAGACAGAGTCTTGCTCTGTCGCCAGGCTGGAGTGTGACTTCTTAATTGAGAATAAACAAGAACCAGGAGGCTCTCTGAGTCTACTCTGGCTCAGGTGGCTGCCTGATAAAAAGAAAAATAAATAAATAAAAAATAGACAAGAACCAGTCATTATGGGGCACACTCAGTTAAAAAGTGAAGTAATCACAGGCACAGGGGCTCACACCTGTACTCCCAGCTACTTGGGAGGACTGCTTGAGCTTGGGAGATCAAGGCTGAAGTGAGCTGTGATTCTGCCTCTGCACTTCAACGTGGGTGACAGAGCAAGACCCTATCTTAAAAAAAAAAAAAAACAACAACGTAATAACCACTTAAAAATACTTTCAAATAATTACACTGGCTCATCTAGTCATCTGTTGGGGTAAAATTTTATTTCTAAGTTCTTTAAGTTGGAAATACATGTATTTCAAAAGATAGTCCTAAAAGAAGTGAGGGATTCGCTTCCTCTGTAACAAGAATAAAGCTTAAGTTTTTCAAGTTTTTTTTTTTTTGGCATTGAATTATCTGGCTAAAAAGAATGTGTCCCGTTGCTTCAACACACCCTGGCGTATAGGTTTTAAATAAAACTTAACACTCAACTACGTTAAAACTAGTGTCATATCCAAATGCAAGGAATAAAAAGGGAAATGAATTGTATCAGTTGGTCAGCATTTACTAAACACCTCCCAAGGGTAAAATACAGGGAATGGGTTGGAAAGAGAAGGATGTTGGAGATACTGTGAACACAGAATTGACGAGTGTGACTGGGGTGCAGGGGATGAGGGCAAAAGAAGGAGGAAGCAAAGGATGGGAGTTTTCCAGTTTGGGGGAACATGGGGATACAGATAGAACACACTCTGGCTTATGTATCCCCATATGGGGTGCTCTCTAATGTGGAAATACAAGGATAAAATTATTCCTGTCAAAAGTTGGACAACTGTATTCAAGAGTATGTCATAACATAAAAAAATCAATGAAATGATATAGCTATCTCACAGGCTAAAAATAGCCTCTAGAGAAGTCTGCAACGGTGAAAACTGGATTAGTAATTAAAGTGTTGACCAGGAGTGTCTGTGATCATCCCAGCCTCTGAAATAACATTAACAGAGTCTGAAGTGATGGCTTCCCCAGAAGCTTATTTCTTGGCCAGTCTCCCAGGGCCTACTCTGCGCCATCATGTCTGGAAACCCTGGGAAGTGCAGGCCCCAGGGTTCTCTGCTTCAAACCAAGCCTGGGCCCTAGGGGACGCAAAATGCTCCTCTGTGTTTAGATTTGAATCATTCTTTGAGGCTGGCTTTGCGTCTCTGGTGCACCCGGACTGCATCCATGGCACTTATCAGGAAGGGAGTCAGATTGGTCAGGTCGGCACACTTGAAGTTGTTTTAAAAGTCAGGCAGAATTTCACTCTGGAAAAAAAAATTACAAATATTTACTCAGAAATCCAGAGCAAGTTAGAAAATCTTGGAACTAAGAAACAACTTATAAAGTTTCGCTGATCAAAAAAAAAAAAAAAAAAAAAAACTTGAACAGACACTTGGCAACATGTGCTGCAGAACAGCAATTCACAGCCCCCCGAGATGTGTAGAAATACCCGAGGGACCATGAGCAGAAAGCGGCTTTCACTCATATTCTCACGCGTAAGAAGCAAACATGAAGAGATTGATGTATTTTATATTCTTAAAGCAAACTAAAGAATTATCACTTGTATATCTTGTCATAAAATGGGGTTGGTAAAACATGAATGCACATGGTCATAACATTTAGGGGAGGATTTGACAAAGGGCAAGATGACATTAGTTCTGTGTTCCAACTAAAATGTCTGCCCTGTTTATAATAGAATTTGTACATTTCTTTGACATTTTCTATACACTCTATAGTGTTGATGCACTAAATTTTTTCTGAGTTTTTTTGTGGTTGAATTTTCTATTTTAAAGCCAATTTTGGGGGATGCCATTGCCAATACACATTAGTAATTCAACGACCTGATTGTTACACAAAAATACTTCATTTTGGACCCAAAGTTTTGTATATCTTACTGTCAACTTTGGCAGAACTTAATTTCTATTTGCAATTGTTATATTAGGAGGTAAATATGCTAGTCTAAGAAATGTGGACTCCAGTTGTATTCCATAGCAATACATGTGTTATAGTATGAATTCCATTACGTATGTTAGACTACCTTGCAGATTTCAGGTTAATGCAAAGATATTTGTAAATACCTCTGCAGCTCTCACGAGGCAGACTGGAATAGGTAAAAACAAGGGGACTAAAATCCTTAGCTTACTGTAGTAGTGTTACTTTTTATTACAGAAACTTCTATGTTGATATACACTGTTTAATGATTTGTCTTCCAATTTTATTATTTGTAGTTTTTTTTTTTTTTTTT